ACTGAAATAAATCTTCCTTAGAGTATCACCAATCGAAAGCCCCTCTATCGAAAGATGAATCATCTTTGTTTCTGTCGATTCCTCTTCAGTTAAGTTTCTTTCTACTATAAATCTTCCATAGGTTCTTCGCGCTTTGTTGTGGCTTACCTGACGATCGGTTGATCCTTGATTGTGACTGTGACAGCGGCTGCGGCGGCGGCTGCTGCCGTCTCCGCCAGCTTGGGTGGACTGCTGACCAGCGGCGGACTGCAGACGCGCGGCGGCGTGGTGATCCTTGGCGGACTGTGCATCTGGCGGGCCTGCTCAGGTGGCGGACTGCGCATCAGCGGCGGCGAGGGCATGGCCGGAGCCGCCTCGCCCACGGGCGGGCTCTGGACACGCTGGGAGCTGGACTTAATGGATGCCACCGGACTCTTGCTGGAGGACTGCGACTGCGAGTGCGAGTGGGATTGCGAGTGCGACTTGATGGATGCCTGCGACTTGAGGGATGCCTGTGGCGAGAGAATGCCCGCTGCAGTGGCGGATCGCTGGCTGCCGGTGCGGCTGGGACCGCGACTCTCCGACAGCTTGGGAGAGCCACCGGCAGCGGCATTGGCTGCCATGGCCGCTATGGCACCGCTGGTGGACATGATGCCACCGCTGGCGATGCTCGCGGCTCGCGGTGAGCTGATGCTGTCCGCGTGTGCCTCCTCCCTGTCCACGGATAGGGGCTCCTCGTCGTCGTCCTGGGTGGAGGAGCCCATCTCCTCGGGCGGCTCTGGCTCCTCCGTGTCCATGCTCAGCGGCGGCGGTGGAATGAAGCCTCCCAGTCCTCCGCCAGCACCCACGCTGTCCTCGTCCAGTTCCGCAAAGTGCTCCGGCGGCGGGGCAATGATCGAGGAGGCAGAGTACCCATTGCTCGGTGGCGTGGTAATGGTGGTCGACTCATCCTCGTTGTCCAGCGATCGGCTGTAGTCCCTGCCGCTCACGGGCTCCGGTTCTGGCTCCTCTTTGGGCTCTTGCTCTTGCTCTTGCTCCTCCTCCTCCTCCTCTTGCGGTTCGGGCTGTGGCTGTGGCTCTGGCTCTGGTTCTGGCAGAGATCGTGGATTTGGGGAATTTGGCTGCGATTCCTGGTCGCTCTCCGAGGAGGGCGTCAGTGGTGGTATCTGGCTGATGTGCTGTGCCGGCGGCGACACCATTCGCGTGAGATTCAGCTCCGGGCAGGGCGGTGGCGTCACAGGTGGAGAGGGTGAGGTGGATGGGGATTTGGTCAGGGGCGGGGTGACATTGCCCTGGACATACGACAGATTCGAGGGCAGTGGCGGCAATGGTGGTGGCGGTGTGGACTTGTCCTCATCATCATCATCATCATCATCTTCCTCCTCCTCCTCCTCTTCCTCGGCCTCTTCCTTTTCATCTGCTTCGGCACCATCTGCCCCATCCCTTGGCTCCTCTGTCAAGGGGGGAGGGGGGATGAAAAGGGGGGGCGGCACCGCTGCCACCTCCTCTGCATCGTCCGTTTCCTCGCCATCGTCCTCGTCCACGTCCGTTCGCAGGCCGGCATCCTCCAAGGGAGAGAGGGGCGAGAGCGGCGGCGGCGGAATGAGCTCCAGCTCCAGCACCGAATTGATGGGGGATCCTGGCGGCGAGGTGGCCTCCAGACTCATCTCCAGATCGATGCTCAAGTCCAGGCTGAGCTGCGGCTCCGGCTGCGGATGGCCGATCATTGGCGGCGGCGTGGGCGTCGGCGGCATGTCCTCCGCCTCCGTCAGCGTGGGCAGCGGCTGGCCGAGCAGCGGGGCCAGCGGCGGCGGCGGTGGTGCCACCAGAAGGAGCACCTCCTCGGTGAGTGAGACTGTGGGAAGGGGCGGCGGTGGCAGTGGTCCATCCCCCGCTGTGGTGGTGCTTGTGCTGGCTGCCGTGGTGGTCGCGTTGTTGTCCACCTCCTCGATGTCAGAGTCGATGCCCTGGGCGAAATCCATGTAGAAATTGTCCCGCGAATCGCTGGAGCCACGTCGCAGCTTCAGCGACAGATCCGGCGAGCTATCCATCTCTCTCTCAATCTCTCTTTCGCTTGACTATGGGCTGTTTTCCGGTTGTTTTGCTGGAGTTTTCTCTTATCTCTTTTTCTAAGGGGAAATTCCTTCACACTCACGGCTCACATCGGTGGCGCCCTCTGTTGGCTGTTGGCAGCGACTGTTGCTGCTGCTGCTGCTTTTTTTTCTTGATTTTCTTTTGTGTTTTGTTTTTTAGTTCTGTTTTTGCTATTTAACTGTTTTTGCTGGTCAATTGTTTTCACTCCATTTCACTGCACGCACATTGTGTGTGTATCCCTGGAATGCACACAGAAACACAAACATCAGGAAGACTGTCAGGAAACACAATCACACACACACACCAATAGAGAGAGAGGGAGAGAGTCAGGAATCAGCATCCTCGCTCTCTCACTCTAAGGCTTGCATCCTTTGCAAATTCCACTTAAACTTCCACTCCCACTCTACACTCTCACTCGCACTCATGCCCTAACACCCACTCTTGCTCTCTTTTCCAATCGAAAGCCCGGCTTCGTCTTCCACCACTGCTTGCATTCATTTACCGATTTTCTACTTATTCTCCTGCTTCCTTTTTGCACTGTTTTTTGCTGCATTTATAACAGCTTCTTGTACTGCTTGCACTGCTGCTCCACTAAATCTCCGGTTTGTATTACTGCTTTCACTCCAGCTTCCAAAATAGCACCCACTCCCACACTCTCTCCTTTCTTTCTCCAACTCCCACTCCCACTCCCTCTCCATCTCTCTCTCTCCCCGCTCTCTATTTCTCTTTGGTTGTGTCGTGGGCGGCATGGGGCGTGGCATTGCATTTTGCTGCGCATTTGACTTTTTACGCAACAAATCCTACACACATCCATACGTATGTATGTACATATGTATGTATGTAAAGAGTCCTGCAACAGTGCCTGCTGTACAGATGTGTGCGTATAAATGCGTAGTTTGATCAAACACCGCCAGGGAGGGGGATGCTGAAGGAGAAGGAGAGGACAAAGCCTGTTCAGAAAATTGCTTAAGGAGCTTCATTTGGTAGGACGCTGGAGGGGCGGGAACAGAAACAAGAACTGAAACGGGAGCAAGTGCAGGAGGAGCAGGCCAAAAGGTTAACTGGAAAAGTTGTTGCTCTATTTCTCTGTTTTCTCTATGTTTGTTGCTGCTGTCTGTTTGTTTTTTTGTTTGTTTGTTTGTTTGCTTGCTGGGAATCTCCTCTGTTTGTGTGCGTGTATGTTTGTCTGTTCGGAGTGAACTTCGGAATAGCATTCGGTACGGAACTCGGAGTAAAACTCGAGTATGTTTGTGTGTGCAACCCCTCAAAAAAAAAAAAAAAAGAAGAGGATACACGGATACTGCGTATGATTTTGTAGGGCAGGCATTTTTGGCAAACAATCAAAACCCAAAGCACAGAAAAAAAAACAAGCAACAAAAATACACACACACACACAGCCAGACACGGAAGGACTGTTAGAAAACATACATATACTCCTGCATGGATACCGTTAAGAATTTCGTGAATGGCAGTACATACCGGATGGATGCCGTTAGAAGCCATATACACACACACTCTTAGTATGAATACCGTTAGCACACGCACACACACACACACACACTCCCCGGAAACCGGATGAATACAATTCCAATTGCTGCATACCGTTACTCTTGTTCAAAGGATGTAACCCAATCTGTTCTGTTCTGTTCTGCTCAGACTAATGAAGGAATTTTTGAGTTTTCGCCAATTGACCGTTAGACGGCTTTCCCCTCTTCCTGGATCTACTCTTCCGTTTTTTACACTGCACTGCACTTTGCACCTCGCACCTCGCAATGCATTGCGCTTCGGTTCATTCGCTTGAGTCCGAGACTCGGTTTCAGTTATGGTTTCTGTTTCGGTTTCGGTTCCGGGCCACATACATACGGGTTTTACGAGGGCACACAACACACACTCAACACACCCCACACACACACTTACACGGAGAGCGCCAGTCGCAGTAGTCGACTCCTGCTGCGACGGCACTTAATTCTAGAATGAAACGCCATCGGATCGGGGCGACAGTACCAAGGCAAAGCTGCGCCATTAGACGACGACAACAACACCACGGCCCCACAGCACAGCCTCTCCGGCAACGAAGAGAGTGTAGTGAGAGAGACAGAGAGAGAGAGCAGGGTAGCGAGAGCGCAGCTGCTGGAGAAGAGAACAAAGCACAAGCAGTGCACAGTACAGCACAGAAGGGGGAAGGAACGGTGGTTGTCAAACACAATTGAACCGGGATTTAACTACGCACTTGACCGTGTTCCGGACTTGTGCTTTGCTCTCCACCGAGTTGTTAGCGTATCCCATTTGGAGCCTGTATGATAATGTGTGTCATGCCTTTGGGCATTATCTCCTACAATTCCTTGGTACATAACTTGCTTAGATATACTTCAATTCATTCTCCTATCATAACCGATTAGAAAAGTTTTGGATAGAATTTGGATCACTCGAACCCATTGTGCTATAGAGGGGTTGCTGTGGAGCGGGGAACGGAGAACGGGGTACCTGTGAGCGTGTGAAAAGTGCCACTGCGTTGTGATGCCTCAATTGTGACTCGTTTGTGGAGCATCGAGAGTAATAGAATCCGACGAGCCGAACCGGTAACAACAGAAGTGCGCATCCCCCCCTCCCTCACCATTCTCATCAGCGATGCTCCTCTGGCTGTGCTGGAATTTCACTTACATCGGGGGAATTAGAGAGAATGAACAAAAGAGAAAGAGAGTGGAAAGGGTTCTCGTTCTCCGCCTGAACCCTTTTCAGAAAGCGTGTCAGTGCGTCTCATTGTTGGGCCTTGGAGCCTGCGTAATGAGGAAAACGAATGAGGATATTCAGCCAGGACTGCCAACTGTGTGGAAATGAAACGTAACTGCCACTTTGCACAATAATTCTTTCTCCAACTAAACCATAACAAACGAGCGAATGATTTTTGCACTACTTTGACACACAACTCTGTAGTAGTTTAAAGGTTTATTCGAATTTTGTACCTATTGATATTAATTTACTATCATAAATCCGTTTATCCATTGCATATTCCCAATATCTACTCAATTCACACATTAAAATGTTCATACTTCAAATTTAACGAGCAAAGCTAGCGATTTAACCATGCAGTTACATACAGTAGTGGGCGAGGTAGTAAGTGCTGAACTGCTTGCATACAGTGGCGGGCCAATGAGTGTGCACAGCTGGCAGCACACTCCAGATAAAGATTCCAAATTCATGCGAAATTTCACTCGCAGCTGATGATTGCGGAGGGGGTGGGGGGATGTGATGGGTTTCTTATCACACAAATATAATGCAGATAAGTGCTAGTACAAGATATTTTATTGCTTGACGCACACAAAGAGCAGGGTATCATGGAATCATTGCAGAACAATTATTAATGGCTAATCCAGGGATTGGGGTTAATGTGGGGATTACAACAAATACAGATCATCAGGGACCACTTAAACAAAAGATAATTTGGTAACATAATCATATACATATAAGTAATTATATATATATATATATCTATATAGTATATACAGACAAACATCGGCTACAGATCTACTGGTACATTATATATTATCACAATGGACGGCGCTGGGCGGCCCCCCGCAACGCGCAGCTCCTAGATGCCGCAGCAGGAACGATTACCGGTTCCAGTGCCGTCACTCTGATCTCCGTCCGACACACTGACGGCGTCGTCCGCATCTAGTGCCTGCAGCCGCAGGGGACTCGCGGGCTCAGCCTCCCGCTCCCGCTGGCTGAGCCGTTCCAGCATCAGCTGGGTGAGCAGCTCAAAGATCTCGGCCACGCCCTCGTTCTCCTTGGCGGACGCCTCCAGGTACTGGGCACCCACAGTCTGGGCGTACTGGCGGGCATCCTCGTAGCCGATGGCCCGCTGCTCTTCCAGGTCAGTCTTGTTGCCCACGATAATGAGGGAGATCTCGGTGCCGCGCATCTGCTTCAGCTCGCGCACCCACGACTTGACCTTCTGGAAGGAGTCTTGGTCGGTAATGTCGTACACCAGCAGCGCTCCGTCCGACCCCCTATAGTAGATGGGGCCTAGCGCGTGGAAGCGCTCCTGCCCGGCGGTATCCCAGATGTTCAGCTGCGCCCGCCTCTCATCCGGCAGCGTCACCTTCTTGGTCACGAACGACGCCTGCAGCGTGCTCAGGTGCTGGGGGTTGAACTTGTCCTCCATGTAGCGCAGCACCAGCGACGTCTTGCCCACGCAGCCTGCAAGAATGGTAATCGCATTTACATGTGAACATCGCAGAAAGTGTCCAAAAATTTCCATAGAGTCTCGGATTCCAAGGCACTCACCTTCGCCCAGCAGCACCGCCTTGAAGTTCAGGGTGGGACCGCTCCTGCTCCTACGCGAGCTCATTGTTCTTCCACTCGTTGGCCTATCTTTTCGCGAATTTCAACTCCAATTTTCAGTTTATTTTGTCATTTGTCATGAGGATTAGTGTGACCGCGGTGTTTCATCGATGAAATATAATGTAAAGGTGGAGAAACATCGATGCATCGATGTTTTTAAATTTTTTGGAAACATCGATGTTTAATGGCGACTACGAGTTTTGAAGTGAGGGAAGCGTAGAAGGTATGTGTAAAAATATATTTATAAATTGAATTATTAATTGTATTTAGATTTTTTTCATCTGGTGGTGTAGGCAACGTCGGTGGAGGTCTTTCAGCTAGGCTGGAATGCAAAATATTTCGATGAACAAAGACAATATCGGTACTTTTGTGCGATAAGCGAAGATATTTTTGAGCGATAAGCGGATCGAATCCGTATTTTATTTGAAAACACCCATATTGTATTTTAAAATTACTATCCCAACCATGGTTCAAAATACCATTAACAATGTATACACATAGACGCGCATGCCACTTTCGTCTTTCTCCAATATTGTATCCGTCCATGATCTTCATCTGTTTTTTCTAATGATAGTGATAGTGCCATACGACAATTTTGAATATCGATATACCCATACACACTCATATGTAAATACATGCGCGCGTTCGGCAGATTTCCAATTCCCATTTGTTTACCTTTTGTACTGCCTCCCGCGTAATTGGCAGCCGGCGACGGAAACTAATTCATAATTAATTATAGACACATTGGAGGCTAATGATGGTGCTGGCAGCCCTTGAAGTACTGTCGCAAGGACCCGCTGTAAGTGCGCAATCAAGGTGGAGCAAAGATTGTGTAATTTTCCCAATTCATGACAATCAACCATTAATTTGAATCCCCTGCAGGACTGGACTGCAGCGGTGTGACTTTGTCCATTAAAGTAATTGACAGAGATTGCTCCACAATGGTGGGCCAACCGTCTCTGCCCTGTCCCCGTTTCCGTCTCTGGGGACGGCCAGGGCAAGTGTTTGCTTTCCCAAGCAAACACTTGGGAGATTGGAGGCCATTTTCACAGGTGGGTTGCGGTTTCGCCCTCCGATTCTGATTCGGTGCTGCAATCTGTTTGATAATTTCATTTGTTCCGCAGCACTGGACGAACCATGAGGCAGCTGCTGGTTCTGCTGAGGACGCTCCTCGTCCACGGATTCGTGGCGCTGTTCACTCTGCTCACCCGCGCGCTCCAGGCAGCCCTCAATCTCTGGCACTCGCTGGCCCTCTAATCGTCTAATGGTGATTCAGTGGAAGGAGACGCCGAAATGTGCCTGTCCACCCGCCCGATAAGGACTGCCCGCCGTCGCCGCCGCCTACCTGCCGTCCGATGTGTGACTTTTCCACTTATCGGCAAAGCAATCAATACTACTTACCTTATCGCCCTCGCACCTCGCACCATGGCCGCGACCGCGGGCGGCAGATGGCGGGGGACCGACGACGATAATCGCGGCGGAGGAAGGCGTCGCTTTATCTGGAGCCAAGCTAATGCCAATTGTCAATGGCTGCTCGTTCGGGTCGGATCGTCAATGGGTGTCGCCGCCCGACCCTGCTGCTGTTGCTGCTGCTGCTGGCGGTCTTCCTCCTCGGCAGCCTGCTGGCGCTGCACAAGCTAAACCACTCGCCGCTGATCCACCAGTATGACATCCTGCAGGAGTACCTGGACAGCAATCCCCAGAAGAGCTCGCGAACGCGCACCATTCTGCTGTGGAGCAGCTTCTTCGGGGATCCGCGCTGGGGCCTGCCCGCGGACACGCTGGGGCCGCAGGAGCTGCGCGAGGATCTGCAGTGTCCCGTGTACCAGTGCGAGGTAACCAATAGCCACGACTTTCTGCCATCCCTGGATCTGTACGACGCCATTGTGTTCCACACGGCCGAGTCGTTCCCCTTTCTGCAGCCGCTGCCCGGGCGCCGCAGTCCGCACCAGGCGTATGTGTTTGCCCTGATGGAGTCGGCGGGCGAGACCAAGCACCGGCTGAGCGACGAGGGAGACTTCTACAACCTCACCATGACCAATCGCCTCGACTCGGATGTGGTGTGGCCCTATGGCCAGATGCAGGACATCGAAACGGGCGCCGTGGTGGCCCCCAGTGCCCAGCCACATTGGCGCCAGCCGCCACCCAATGGCGCCTCGAACGACACCCGTGCACTGAGGCTGTGGCAGGGCAAGACCAAAATGGCTGCCTGGTTTGTGTCCCACTGTCAGACGCTGTCCCGCCGCGAGAACCTAACGGCGGCCCTGCAGCAGCATATCAAGGTGGATGTGTACGGCAAGTGCGGGCCCCTCAGGTGAGTCAGCATCCCCCCATGCCGGATACCCCATGCCCCATGCCCCATGCCCCATCCCGTGGAGTCCATTAACGGTCTGCTGCTTGTTACAGCTGTAATCGCGGTGATCCGCACTGCGATGAGATGCTGGACACGGACTACATGTTCTATCTGGCCTTTGAGAACTCGCTGTGCGAGGACTATGTGACGGAGAAGCTCTTCGGGGTGCTGGAGCGCCACATCATACCCGTGGTGTTTGGCGGGGCTGACTACACGCGCTTCCTGCCACCGCATTCCTACATCGATGCGAATCGCTTCGACAGCGCCCGCGAGCTGGCGGAGCACATGCTTTTCGTGGCCGGCGATGGGGAGGAGTACACGAGCTACTTCTGGTGGCGCCAACACTACCGCCTGACCACCGTTTCCCCCTTCTGCGACCTGTGTGCCCGACTGCACTTGTCCGCCCAGCGGCATAGGTCCCAGGTGTATGGCGATATCCAGTCCTGGTGGTTCGACAGCTGCCGTTTCAAGGCAAACATCCAGTTCTGAGGGAGGGCACAAGCGCATGAGAAGGAAGAGGACGGCGCTAGGCGACTGGCGCACCCGTTAAAGCGAGATAGAAGGCAATGCGAATGTTTGCATACGATATGGGAAAACTTTTGCTGTGCATTCTGCTTCACCTGACACGGCCGTGGCCACCAACCAGCCATTTGTGAAGTGCCTCCCAAAACTATTTGTGTGTCAACGCTGGAAACCCCACACGAGAGATAAGATATGCTAGGAGGTGGCTACGACTACGATTTGAAATTATCGCCGCCTAATGCTGCACTTACTCATCCACAAACACAACAACAACCACAACACACAACCCATCCAAAATCGTCCCATTATCGCCATCGTGAGCCTCGAGGGGCGATAAAAGAACCAACACACTCACTCACACAGACCTTTGTGTAAGTTTTATTTATTTCGTTTTGCTTTGTAGACCCTCTTGCCATCATTATTTCAACCAACTTCTAGCCGCACCTCTTACCGCATTAATATTTTCCTAATTAGTTTAACTTAGTTAATAAGCAAAATCTGTCCAAAAAATGAAATCAATTGTACTCAATGCTTTTCATGTGTTTGCCTGTTTGCGGTGGCCTCAAGCAGCTATTCTCTGGTGTTTTTAACCAAGTTTATAATTAATATCCATCAGGAGACAACATACATTGAATGGTCTAAAAATAGGGAACATTAATAGGAGTTTCCTTTGTGTATTATGCTAGTTTGTTTTAGATATAGGCTAGCGTTTTCCATGCCACTATTCGCTTGGGTCCCGTGTTCGGATCCTAAAACCTTGCCAAGTTGATTGTTTAGCTAATGATGGACTGCAACTAAAGCACTCAGAAGATTCACCTCTCTATTTGATCCTCATTTTACTTTATGAATTTATTCTAGCAAGTTTTCGCTCAGAGTCTACTACTGAAAACATTGTTTGGAGTTAAAATGTATTATGTATTAAATATTTTAGTATTTAAGTATTCAGAGGCTGCAGTTTGAAGAGGATTTTGTGTACTAAATAGCTGAAAAATCTGGTAAAAATATTCCCATTCATTGAAGTTTCTTCAATTTATATATTGATCGTTTAATTGTGGATATACCACTCAAGACTGTTTACTGTTTGATGCTTGCTGTTGATACGGATACTCTGCACTTGCTTGGACGGGTCTGCTGTTGGAAATGTGCACTAGGATATGATTTCCTTTCCGCAGGACCCTCACCGATCCCATAGCATCGCGTGACGTGTACTGGTGTTTCCCCTGGATTTATTCCTTTTGTTTGTATGGTTCAGTCTTGTGGGTAAAGTTTTAGCTTAAATTTGGCTAAATCTTGATGATCCTCGGACGATTTGTATGTGGCATTTGTTATTATTATTTTTTATTACTAGGAATATGTGTGTTCGCCATATGGTTAGGGCGGGATACTGGCCTTAATATAAGTTAACAATTGGCAGGATCAGTACTCACGGGTATGCGATTTTGTCTGACTCAGCAGCAATAACACTCGGAGTCTATTGGTTCTCCCGTGGCACCTTTTTGGGTGGCTTAACCATCTCCATTGTCGCCCTGCCGGTTCCTCTTTCTACTATCCTTAATGGTAACAAAATATAGTAGATACTAGCAGACCCGCGCGCCTTTCTCCTTACTAAATGCAGCTAATGTTTGGGAATTCATCGAAATAAACAATAAACCGATTTATAGAAAAGAAAAACTTTTGTATAGAAACAATGCCACATACTCTGGCTATCATTTAAATCCGCATGCAGTTTGGTGAACGCGCTGCGGAGAAATGAAATGAAATGAAATAGGCGTTCAAACACACACTTTAGAGACGTACAAATTTGTTTGTGCAAATCGTGCCACATACTCTGTTATCATTTGAAAAAAAAACAGCATGCAATTTGGTGCACGCGGATATAGCTGCTTACACACAGATTTTTTTCTACAAATTTATAGTATAGATTTAATAGTTCTGTTCTTTTTATACCCGTACTGAAAAAGCGTTAAAGAGTATATTAAATTTTTGGCAAAAGTGGATGTGTGCAACGCAGAGAAGGAATCGTTTCCGACTCCATAAAGTATATACATATATTCTTGATCAGCATCAATAGCCTAGTCGATATAGCCATGTCTGTCCGTCCGTTTTGTTTGTCGCCTAGATCTCAGAGGCTATAAGAGCTAGACCAAACAAATCTTGTTTCCAGACTCATGTGATATCAGACTGACTGAGTACGGGTATAAGAGTAGAGTCGCGTCCACAGAAGCGACTAACACGTTCCTTCTCGCTTGATTTTTATTTTAGTTTGCTTTGAACGGAGATATTTTCAAACTAAGAGTATTTTTATGGATTGCTTTCCTCAAATAAAAATTTGTATAGGCATTGCCTTGAAACTATCTTCCATGTGGCTGCTAGTGTTTCCATCCGCCAGATTCTGACCAATAATTTAGATATTCATAAAATAAATCTATGTACTACGAGTATGTGAAACATTTTCTTAGTTAAGTTTGAATTTGATGCATAACCTATTCTACCATTATACTTTTATTTTTAGAGCTCCGAAAGAGCTCCAGAGACCCTTCTGAATGGTTAAAGCTTTCCAATTAAATTTATATTTAGCATCGTAATTGGATGTTTTGATTCACTTAGCTGTAATCAGAAAATTAAGATGCTTTTCAAGGGATTTTCCCAGAATCAGGGTCACCGTTTCGAGTGCCCTGCCGCATTTAACGGCAACTATGGAGGAGCTTCTCCAGGGCTGGCCACCTCGGCGGGCGCATGCGTTGCGATATTCGTGCGTCGTGCGTGGGTGCGTCGTGCACCCACCAAATGTCAAGTGTCAAACGGTGTGACGTTGCCTGACGGACGGAAGCAGCTATTTTTTCGAGCATCTTCGGCGAAGCTTTTTCGAAGCTTCTGGAGCTCTGCTGGAGAGCAACAGAGTTTGTTCCCGCAGGAGAGACATCACCCCCCCACATCAGCTGTGGCCACGTGTGTGTGTGTGTGCGTGCTTTTGCGTAGAAGCTTTTTTCGGCAGCAGCTTTTTGAAGGATACTGTGCTGTGGTACGGTAGTGCTGCTCCGAAAGCACTTCCTATGGCATTTCGTGACATTACACTCATTCTGTGCTAGATTTCCCGATAGTTCAAATCAGAGGTAACACAAATCGAAGAGATTACGGCAGTAAAAACCCCCCCAAGTAAATAAGAGCCAGCCACCAGCCAGCCAGCGGACTTCCAAAACTAAAACCCACGCTCAACGCTCAACGTTAGGCCAGAACTAAAGTAAATTCAAGAAATTTCATTGATTTTGGCACAAGAAAAGTGTGTATGGTGTGGTGTGCCACTAGGGGAAAAAAAAGAACACAGAACGTACGAACGAAATTGTTTTTCCTGAATTTTCCCCCCTTCACCCACCCAATAAAGTGCGCAAGAGTGAGACGTAAGTTGCATAATTTTCACAGAAAATCGAACCGAAAAATCCAACCGAAAATCAAACAAAAATCCAACCAACAATCCAACCGAAAGTTTTGAATATTTCTACCAACCAACAAATCAACACAAAAACAAAAAAAAAAAAACCTATTAAATATTCCAACAATGAGGTGTGTGACAAATTTTTTTTTAATGTTGATTTTGACTGTGAGAAAAGTGTGTCGGGGAAAAGTGTGAAGAAAAGTTGAGTAGGAAAACTCGTATGTACATATATAATAGATATATAATATATATATATGCCATATATCATACATTATGATGGATGGTTGTGCGTGGGGTCGTACCCTCTCTCTCTCTCGCTCGCTCGCTCTCTCTTTCTCTGTCTGTCTGTCTCTTTTTCTCTATGCCCTAAAGTGCGTCTCTATATCATCGATTTTTCCAACACACAAAAAGCCATAGGCAACAGCAAAAGCAACAACAATAACATCCCAGATGTAAGAGACACTACTGCCCCCCATTCGCAGAGCAGCGCTCTGTCCTGCTTCTCTCTGTGGGCCACATACAGAGAATCCTTGAAAGAGGATGCCATACCATGCCCCTCTCTCTGACTCAGTCTCGGTCTCGGTTTCGGTCTCTGTCTCTTTTTGATCTTGAAATATTCAACTGCAATTGCAAGGCAATTATCGATGACCCCCAAATGATTGTGGCATTCATTCGCAAATAATAATAGATAATTGTTCTGGTGCTGGCAAAGTGCCCGTCAAAAGTCACTCAACAGTAAGTGCCAGTGTGGGCGGAATCTATTGCCTGCCAGTGTGTGGATGGATGATGAGCTTTGACTTTTGTGTTGAGTTGAGTTCTCTTTTCGGTTTTTACGGTTTTCTCGGTTGGCTCTGCGGTTCTGTGGCTCTGTGGTGGAAAAGCTCTCCCGGTTCGGGCCGAAGCTCGTGTGGTAGGTACACACCACATTCAGAGACACAGAGCCGCGCCAGGAAGCTCGTTCGCGGAGAGCAGAGCAGAGAGAGAGAGAGAGACCGTGTACATTTTTTACACGGGTACGTACACGACGGAACCCACGCACGTACAGGAAACAGGCAACATCAATATCCCTTTAGCGTGGGGCTACACAGATTTCATGGCATAGGAAATTTTCGTATGGATTTTCCCCAAAAGAAGTAATACCCCAAAATCGAGTGTAGGTTTTTTTCGCGTGGCCCCAATCTCCGTATAGCCTCGTCCCGTGGACATTGGTGCGGCGGCGGTGAGTGCGGGAGATGGGCTTGTGGGATTAAATAGTGACTCCAGTAGAAAAGTTGCCACTTCATATACATTGTAACTAAATGTAATGTGTATCCGTAACTGAATCATCCATCAATCCATCAATCAATCCATCAATCAATCCATCCATCAATCATCCATCAATCAGTCGACTGTCTTAGTGCTTAGTTCGATACGTTTACGGGATGTAGATGTATATGCAGATACAGATGCATCCTACATCCATCTTCATCCTTTTGTCGATGAGTAGCTTACATAATAAGTATCCCCCCCTCTCCCGCAGCAGTGTCCAACCCGCCACTACCACCTACCCAGTCAGTCCACCATCCACGTCCTACGTAGAAGCAAAACCTCCTAGCTCTGTCCAGCATCCAGTATCAAGCATCCAGCATAGCCAGTAATCCCAGCTTCTGAAGCAGTTTGCGGGAGAGTAAGAGTTCTCGAAACATATTTGCAGACCGATCTCGATGTCTCCGCAATTAGATAATGCTTAAGCTACCAAAGGGCCTAAAAAAGAAAAAGAAGAAGTCGAAAAAGGACCAAGAACTCTTCACCGAAGAGGAGCTCGAGCAGTACAAGCGCGAGCTCAAGGCCAAGCAGGAGGCGGCGGCCAACAAATCGGACGCTGGCGAATCGGACGGTGGCGCATCGGACGTCGAGGGTGCCGCAGGCGCCACATACCACAGATCCTCTATCGGAGACGATCATCTAGCCGAATCCGGTGCTGCAACCACATCCACTGACGACCACCATCACCACCACCACCACTCAGCATCAGCAGCAGCATCAGCATCAGAGTTCCAGCGGCGGCGGAGGCGACGAGGAATGGGCCAAGTTTAAGGCGCTTACATCGGGCGTCGATACCATCCTACACAAGACCCAGGACGAGCTCGATCGCATCAAGAAGGAGTCCTTCTACCAGCGCCTGCCCTCGGCGGCCGAAAAAAAGAAACAGGAGGAGGAGGAGGCAGCCCGTCTCGAGGCGGAGCGCCAGGAACGGGAACGCCAACGTCTCGCGCTAATCGAGTCACAGCGCGACAAGCTAGCAGAGGCCGTTGTCGAGCTCTCAGACTCGGAGGACGATCAGCAGGACGAGGTCGGTGATATCTTTGCCACCGACTATATCGAGGCCATCACCAGCGGCGAGCTCCAGCTAGCCGTTGTACCCGATTCGCCCGTGTTCGAGGCGGACGACGGGCCCGATCCGTTCGACACCGCCTACGCGGAGAAGGTGATTGTTGGCGCCGACAAGGCCAAGGGCAACAAGAAGCTCGTCAGTCTCGGCGCCGCCGTCGAGGTACTCTCCGGCCGCGTGGACCGCGATCACGCCCTAGCCCTAGCCAATCCCAAGCGCAAGCTACGCAAGGGCATCCAGAACCTTTTGCTCAGCGAGAGCGTTGAGCTAGCCGATCCCGAGTCGGATCTTCTAGCCGCAGCCGCCAACGCCGAGCCGCAGCACAATCTTTTCGACGATCTCGTTGACGACGACCTCACCGAATCGGCCGGTCCCATCGACTTGAGTGTCTCGCTCCACCTGCATCTGATCAAGCCGCAAAGAGTTGACGAGGAGGACGAGGACGCAGAGCTAGCCGAGCTTCAGGGGAGCTTCCTCAATCCGGATCTAGCCGAGTTCGACGCCCTCAAGGACGAGGAGGACGACGAGTTTGCCGAACTAGCTGCCGAGTCGCTCACCAAAAAGGAGGACATCACCATCGTCAGTCAGGTGGTCCTGCCGCCAGCCACCCTACTCGCCGAAGCCGTTGCCGAGGCCAGCTGGGCCGAGTTCGAGCCGGAGCCAGAGTCCGAGGAGCCACTATCAGGTGAGCGATCATCCATGGCGGAGACATCCCCTGAACCTTGAACGCATGTCTCAGCACACTTGTCTCACACTCAATCAAACACATAAAAACAAACTAAATCGAAACAGGATCTGCGTCTGCTCTAGCATTAATAATATTAAATAGTATTCGAATGCCAGGTGTTCAAAGAGCCAAGCGCTTCAACTTGTTTGCTTTTCATTCTGGCTGTAATAATTCAATTGCAAGCTACAATACATTTTTTTGTCACTGCATGCATGGATCTATATAATCTATATAATTTTGTGGGCTTGGAAAGGCTTTCCTCTGGCTGCTCTGGTTGCTACGCGAATTAAATAATACCCCTATATTACATTTACTATTTACATTCCAGTCGAAATTTGTTAGCATGCAACAAAATATATATATTTCCACTTAGACACTTAGACTGAAATTATGGGCATGTCTTTTTGGTTTCTTTTCGATTTCTGCACTAAAGAAAATTCCTTTAATTAGTAATTAATTAATTTAATTTTTTTAGTTGTTCTTTGTTTAACCCTTATTTTGCTGTTTAGTGTCTTGCTATTCATCGTTATAATAATTCTATCTTTGAGCGCAACAGGGAAATCAGACAAAGAACAGACAAAGTATTGGGCAGTATTTATTATGTTTGGGGATAGATAATACTCCACACCTTCAAACGGATCACCCAGGGGCACTCTGGGGACGATATAATTATCCCACGTCTCACTCTTCAGTGACTTTGCCCCTTCCCAACCCTCTTCCTGTCCGCTTTCTGCTGCCAAATTTTACTAATTACAAATTCCGTATTTATTTTTCTGTCATTCACAGGAAAACCGAAGCGCCCGCCGCCACCGGCCAGGCCTGCCACTGGACCACACATTGTACCTGGTGCCATCTACGTCAGTGACGACGAGGACGAGCAGAACCTTGACGACGATCCGTTCAACACCAACTACGCCGAGCAGGTGATCAAGAAGACCACCGTACTCGAGGAGGACGACGACTTTGATCCGCGCGCCGAGGAGGAGACCACTGGAGGAGCAGGATCCTCATTGCTAGCGGCGCCGGGACGCGATCTTTTGGCCGGCAGTGCCACCGATCTAAGCAAGGTGGTGCCAGCGCCATTGGCGCCCACCCTAAGCATCGACCAGGAGCCGGAGGACTTTGATCCTTTCGACACCTCGGCGGTCAGTGCCATTGTGCAGCCAAAGGCCACCGAGCTGCGCTTTCTGGAGCGGGAGCTGCTCACCAACGAGACGAGCGCCGGACTCAAGCACTCGCTGAGCGATCCGGACTTTGATCCGCGGGCAGGACAGGAAGAGGAGAAGCAGACGCACGAACGCAGAAGCAGAAGCCACCGCAACGACCGAAGCCTCCAGTGCCGGTGCCGCCGTCGCCAGTGGCCAGTCACATCGCTCCGGAGTTTGACGCCGCCCGACGCAAGTCCTCGCTGAGCCTGAACATCCAGGCGAAGAGTGTGGGCTTCCTGGTGCCAGGACCGGACCTGCTCGGTGCCGGTAATGAGGTCGGGGCCAACAAGAAGCCACTGACGCCGTACTACGCCCCCTCCGCCGCCGCTGGCTCCGCCAACGCCAACCAGTCGATTGCCGAGGGCATACCAGAGTCGGAGGATCCCTTCGACACCTCCTATGTGCCGGAGGCCAAGCTCAGCGACATCGAGCTGAAGCACATCGAGGCCGATCTGATCGCCAAGCCCACGGCCACGCTGCGCCACAGCCTCTCCGATCCGGACTTTGATCCGCGCGCCCCGCCCACGCCCGTACCCGCCGAGGTGCTGCTCGCCGTCGAGGAGAACATCGACATTAAGGTGCTGACACCCGCGCAGGAGCGCAGACAGCTGCCCAACGCCCAGGGAGGCGCCCGCAACGCCCACGGAGGGACGTCCGACGAGGACGACGTCGATCCATTTGACACGTCGATTGCCGCCAATCTCCAGCCCGGCCAGACGGAGCTGAAGCTGCTCGAGAACGAGCTGCTGCCACAGCGGAGCGCCCAGGAGCTGGCCATTGACGCGCAGAGCGACGCCCAGGATCTGGGACTCGGCGACAAGGTGCTGACGCCCTCGCTGCCCTCTCGCCCCCCGCCGCCAGTGCGGCCGCAGGACATAGATCCGTTTGACACCTCCATAGCGGAGAATCTAGCGCCCGGCGAGACGGAGATCAAGCTGCTCGAGAGCGAGCTGATCGAGCGCTAAGCAGCCACAAACCGCAAACAAAACCACAAAGCAGAAACCACAAAAAGGAAAAGCAAAACCAAAACCAAAACCAGAACCCGAACTCAAACCGAACCGAAAATGGCCAATCCGTTCCTGATGGACGACGATCTGGATGGCGGCGATATGGCCGCCAATCCCTTCCTAATGCAGTCAGAGCCGGAGGCGGGCGACTCCGAGTCGAATCCGTTCGGTGAGGCAGCCAGCAGTGCCAGCGTCAGCGCCAGTGCCAGTGCCGGCTCCAATCCGTTTGCCTTTGGCGGCGACGATCTCGAGCCGGAGCCAGAGCCACCGATCAATGACATTGATCCGGCCATGAGCTTCTTTGGCACCACCATAGAGGCGGAGGACGATGCCCTCAGCCTCAAGTCTGTCGTCGGTGAGGAGGAGGACGATGCCACCGGCGGCGGCGGCAAGAAACAGCCACCGCCTCCGCCACGACCACAGCCGCCGCAGAGCACACAGGATCTGATCAGCACGGTGTCCAGCCAGCTGGACGACACCTCCGCGGAGCTGCTGGGCCGCATACCCGCCACCCGATCGCCCAGCCCCGTCTCCATGCGCGACCTCCACTCGCCCAGCCCCACTCCGGACTCGGGCCTGGCCGATCTGCTGGATGTCTCCGACAGCGGCTCCAATAACCAGATAATGGATCTGGATCTCATTGGGGGAGTCACTGCGGCCACAGATGCTGCTCCAGCTCCTGCTCCTGCTCCAGCTCCTGATCCGGCACCAGTTGCGGCTCCACCCATTCCTGCTCCCCCCGCCAGCCAGCACGACAATCCCTTTTGCGGTGCCCACGGCTGTGCCCAGCCTGCAGGGGGCCACGCCCATGCCCTCGCCGGCCAAACACCAGCCGCCGCGTCCCCCGCCGCCACGCCCAGTGCCGCCAAGGCCAACGCCACCCGCCCACATGGTGCAGCATGGCCAGCAGCAGCCGGCACCACCGCCGCAGCGTCCCCCGCCGCCGTCAGCGACCGCGCCAGCGCCAGTGCCAGCGCCGGACTCGGAGGATCTGCTGGACATGTTCGGCACGACCAGCGGCAAGCCGGCCAAGCCACCGCCGCCCAAGAGCAAGGAGGACATCCTCAGCCTTTTCGAGGCGCAGCCACAGCCCGTGGCCAAGCCCGATCTCCTGCAGGATGATCTTCCCCAGGCGGTGGCCAGCTCCGACGAGGAGCGCGACCGCGAGCGCGATACGGAGAACAATGGCGGCGATGGCGACGAAGATGACGATGGGGAGGACAAGGATGAGCCCATCTTCACGTCTGTGCTGACGCGGCCGGACGAGAGCACCCATGACATCACCTGCCAGCCGCAGGCGGCGACCCTGGCCCTGGCCCTCATGGCAGCGCCCCAGGACACGACAGGCCGACAGAGGGCGCCCACGCCGGACATTGAGATCACCACGGTGGAGGATCTGCCCCGCTCCGATGACGAGGATGAGCCAGAACCGGAACCACAGCCAGAGCCAGAGCCGAAACCAGCAGCAGCAGCTCCCGATCAGCCGGCAAACGAAGACGAAGAAGCTGAGGCCGAGGCCGTGCCCCAACCGGAGGCAGAGGCAGTGGCAGTGGCAGAGGCGGCGCCAGCTGCGGCTGTGGAGTCGGATCACACTGGATCCCCGCCCACTGAGTCACAGCCAGCGTTCGACACCACCATGGAGCTGGCCGGCGACGAGCCCGAGCAGATGGACACGGGCCTGGACTTTCCATTGGGTAGCGGTGGCCTGGCCAGCGGCCAGCTCTCGGCCAATCCCTTCGCCAGTCCCGAGGAGGAGGACGAGCCGGGCTTCGTGCCCGCTGCAGTGGTGGGCAACATATTCTCCGTGGACGATGCAGAGCCGGAGGCGGTGGCGGAGGCGGAGGCGGAGGCGGAGGCCGTGCAGCAGGCGCCCAGATATGGGGCCAACATCTTTGCCGTCGAGCCGGACGAGTTTGACGCCTTCTCGGCCAAGTTTGATTCCGTGAAGAAGGACAACATCAGCATCCTGGACGGCTTCGGGGGCTCTGGGGCCATCACGCCCACGGGCGGAGGAGACGGTAAGTGCACGAAGGAGGATCCGTCCCAGACCTAACTTCAGATTGCCTGACCACTTTTTCAGCTTGGGGCGACAGCGCCTTTGGATCGGCCACCATTTCGGCGGGCAATGCCTTCGGCGACGCCCCGTCGGCGGACGATGGCTTCGGGAACGAGGACGATGACTTCTATGCGATGCGGGCGCCCGTGCGGGCCGAGTCCGTGGAGTCGGTGGACAAGGAATTCAGCGTGGTGATCCGCCCCAAGGCGGAGGGCACTGGCGGAGTGGCACCGCAGCTGGCGCCACCCCCGCCGCCAGCCAGGTCGGCCGTGCAGGCGGCCAGTCAATCCTCCTCGCCGCCGGCGACAGTCAATCCCTTTGAGGATGTGACCGGATTTCCAGCTCCACCAGCAGCAGCAGCAGCAGCAGCAGCAGCGGCAGAAGCAGCTGCCACAGATGGGGGCGAGGCGGGGGGCATCAAGCGCACAGACTCGCAGGACACGCCACAGACGCCGCTGTACGACGAGGATGTGTCACAGCCGCTGGAGGAGTTCCCGCGCCTCAACTACGTGGGTCCCGGCTGGGAGATGCAGCTGCGGCAGCCAAACAAGAAGAAGATCACCGGCCAGCGCTTCTGGAAGAAGATCTTTGTGCGCCTGGTGGTGCAGAACGATGTGCCGGTGGTGCAGCTGCTGAACCAGCCGGGGGACAAGCAGCCGTTCCAGGAGCTGCCGCTGCAGCCCTCCTACTCGGTGTCGGAGATCGGGGCCCAGCAGTACGATCAGTTCGGCAAGATCTTCACCATGAAGCTGCAGTACATCTTCTACAAGGAGCGGCCCGGCGTCCGGCCCGGCCAGGTGACCAAGGCGGAGCGCATCACCAACAAGCTGACCAAATTCGCCCAGTACGCCATCGCCGGCGACTACGAGGGCGTGAAGGAGTTCGGCAGCGACCTGAAGAAGCTCGGGCTGCCGGTCGAGCATGCGCCGCAGTCGTCGCAGCTCTTCAAGATCGGCTCGATGACCTACGAGGACATGAAGCAGTTCTCCGTCTGCATTGAGGAGGCCCTCTTCAAGCTGCCGGCACTGCGCGAACGGGCCCTCACCTACAAGATGGAGGAGGTGCAGGTGACGGCCGTCGACGAGATCACCGTCGAGCAGGACAGCGAGGGCAAGATCCTCAAGCAGATCGCCCGTGTCCGGCTCTTCTTCCTGGCCTTCCTCACCGGCATGCCCACCATCGAGCTGGGCGTCAACGATATGTGGCGGCAGGGCAAGGAGGTGGTCGGCCGCCACGACATCATACCCGTGGCCACCGAGGAGTGGATTCGCCTCGAGGCGGTCGAGTTCCACAGCGTTGTCAATCAGCAGGAGTACGAGCGAACGCGCACCATCAAGTGAGTAATCCCAATGGGAGAGGGGAGAGACGACTTTGATTTTGGGTTTCGTTTCGTTTCGCCATCAGATTCCAGCCACCCGATGCCAACTACATTGAGCTGCTGCGCTTCCGGGTGCGTCCGCCAAAGAATCGCGAACTTCCGCTCCAGCTGAAGGCCACCTGGTGCGTCACCGGCAACAAGGTGGAGCTGCGCGCCGACATTCTGGTGCCCGGTTTCACCTCCCGCAAGCTGGGCCAGATACCCTGCGAGGATGTCTCGGTGCGCTTCCCCATACCCGAGTGCTGGATCTATCTGTTTCGCGTGGAGAAGCATTTCAGGTGCGTTTCTGGTCCCCCCCCCCTCTTTTGCAACTAATTCGGTGAATAACTCGAAAATCTTACTGGGGTGGGTGGAACAGGTATGGGTCGGTGAAGTCGGCCCATCGACGGACGGGCAAGATCAAGGGAATTGAACGGATCCTCGGCGCCGTCGATACGCTGCAGGAGTCGCTAATTGAGGTCACCTCGGGCCAGGCCAAGTACGAGCATCACCATCGGGCGATTGTCTGGCGGTGTCCACGCCTGCCCAAGGAGGGTCAGGGTAAGCCACAAATCATCCATTTCCTATATCCCATAACCCATAACGATCAATGGTCTGTTCTTAGGGGCATATACCACACATCAGCTGGTGTGCCGCATGGCACTGACATCGTACGACCAGATACCCAGTGAACTGGCGCCATACGCATTCGTGGAGTTCACTATGCCCGCCACGCAGGTCTCGCATACCACCGTGCGCTCCGTGAGTGTCCAGGACTCGGACGCCGACGAGCCACCCGAGAAGTATGTCCGCTACTTGGCACGACACGAGTACAAGTGAGTACCGCATGCAGACGAGGAACCCTCCCCATATTGGTGGAACAGCACCTTTTATAGCCATCCTTATTTTTCGATTGATTTCCAGGGTTGGCATCGAGACCACGCACGGCGAGTCCACGAACGCGTATTTGGCGGCAACGCGTCCCATTAAGGAGGAGACCGCCAAGGAGGTGGCCGCCAAGCCGGTCGCCTCTCCGGTCCCTCCCAGCGACTCGGACACGGACTCCAACTAAGCGGAGACATCGGCTTTCTGTAGATATTCCTCGTGTGCATGGTTAACCCCCCAAATCGTTCTTGTTATATACATATATATATACACCACATAGATATATCTGCCCCTATATAATATACCATATACCATATACTATATATATATATATATATATACTGATATGTGTAATTTCATGTGCGTCTGTTTGCCCCGCCATATAATCACGCCCCGCCCCCACCACGTCGTGTGCAGCTTGTGCAGCGTGTTCATCGTCCCGCTTCAGAGTATTAGGTAAAGGATTAGTTGACAATAATGTTAAGAGTACAGCAGCCGAGGTGCATTGAGAGAATTGATGATGATGTGAAGCAGAAGCAGAAAACTGAAGCAGAAAACTGAAACTGAAACTGATGATGTGAAGTTATTTGTGAAGAAGATGAAGATGAACATGAGTGTAAAAAGCCAAAAGTAACGGACAACCAGATGATGAAGGCTACGCTAAAGCTGCGTGAAGGATGTGGAATGTGTCAACGAAGGAGGAGGAAAGGAGAGCTCCGCTACACATCCCCTGTCCCACAGGGGCACGCCCCCACATACCCCAAACTCTAATCCATACCTAAATCTAGCCTTAACCGCGTTACTTATAGCCCTACGACGAGAGAGATCACGTTAATGTTTAACCATTGGTAATATCAATCCATTGTGGAGGCGTACGTAAAGTCAACCCCATACATATGCATAGAGTTAATGTTTATAATCGAACCAGTACACACAGGCATACATACATACATACATACTACCTACTATATACGAGTACATACATATATAATCGATGGACCTTCTTAGTTATATAACTGATCGAATCGAAGCATTAAGCGACAAGTAATATGAAAATGAAAAGCAATTCTGCCTAACATAATTCATCGAAGCAATCGGAGTTCAATCGATCGGAAGTGGAAGTGGAATTGGAATTGGATATGGAATTGGAAGAAGGCAACACGCACACATTCTCCCTACATAAGTACTACTCGTAGATACAATGGAAATGCAAACTATGGATGTGGATATGGATAACCTACCCCATGCTGCCAGCGCATATCATCAGATAGATCATCCATCAATCAGTTCATTTACCAGCACTGGACACTGGAGACCGAAGACCGAAGGCAGTAGAGAAGAGTAGCAGCTGATAGATAACCAAAAACCCCTCCTTCTGATAACTTCTGATATCTGGACACGATACATAGCCCCCATAGCCCCCATAGCCCATAGCCCCCTAGTTATTCACTTATTATATAAACAAAATGGAAAAATATACTAAGCTTTACCATATTGATTTAATGGATACAGATTTAGAGATGGGAAAGAAATGGATTCAATGCATATTCAAGAAAAAAATGTTATTGTTGTGAATCAAATTTAATTATATTCAAAAAGTAAAAAGTAAACTAAAACACACACAAAAACTAAAACTAAAACTAAAACGAAAACCTAACAAACGGATATAGGAAAAAACATCTTTGTTGGTCTACAAAAAAAAAAGAAAACACACATAAAACACTACATAAATTAAATATAGTACGGATAGAAGCCGAGAAGAACAAAAAATATGTATGTGTGGGAGAAATTAAAAGTACATACGTAATCAGTATGCCACACACAGGAGACCGATCGATTGGTATATATTGAGTTTACTAGCAATATTGCATAAAGTAGATTTGTTAATTGAGTGTTAAATGAATATATACCTGCCCATTCCCATCCTACCCTCTCAGCTTTTGTCCAACTATCCCTTAACCCTCTTCCTTTCCTATACACACAGAGAATCCTGCTGCACCCCTTACCTTACCTTACCTTACCTTACCTTACCCAACCCATCCATACGAAGGCATTCCATTTATAGTACTATATATTTCGTACCACACACACTTCGAGAGTCTCTCAATGGAGCAGTCATAGAGAACTATGTATGTATATTGTATCCCTAAGAAGCTCCCCAAGAATCCCTCCCACTTCATTCATTTATTGTATGTTAAATTATTTAAATACGTTTAATTCTGCATATACTATACCGTATATCGTGTATCGTATACATATATGCATATGTATTGTATGTACAATGAAAACAACCAAAAATCGGATCGGATAATGCCGATAAGTTGCCGATAAACACTCTCACATGTTATATATATTAAATATACATACATAAATTGGCAGCACCCCACACCCTGCCATGAGCCATGCCACACTGGCATATGTCCCACTCCGGCGATGAGCCACGAGGCGCTGGGGCATATGCTGCTGTGACCTGCCCAGGAACGGGGTCGGGGTCTGTCCCTATTATACAACAAATATGCGGCGGCGATCGCTAAAGGTATTAACCGATCAACTAAATACAATATAATGAATTATTACGAACCGAACAGCAAACGCATTATGGTGGAACCTTTACCTAGTCAAATGAGAAAATAAATATAAAATCAACAAATATTAAGCAATGCAATTTGAAGTCTATTTATTGATTGGCATGGGAGGAATGATGGGACTAGAGAAGTGGGCATCTGAGAGCCTCATTGATGTATCGAAATTCTTCTGGTTACTTTTGTGAAGTCTGCTCTACTTCTACTTATTGGAATAAATATTCGAGTTTTCGAACTTCAGTGATGTATGGGAGATTCTCTCCATTATTCTGGCCCTATTCGATTACGTAGCCTTCGTTGAATGATTTCCCTTCTCTTTGATGGACTCTCCTGTATATCTCTCACATCTCATTCCTTTTACGTAGAAGCAAAGTTTCTTTGTTTAATTTGTAGCCGTATCTCTTAGATTTTGTTTGCCAAATTTAAGGAACTGTGCATCCCCTCGCTCTCTGCCATCAAATCATTTATTGTTTCGTTTTGTTTTTGCTCAGTTTGTGACCCAATGCGGTGCTTGCCCTTGGCTTCATTTATCATCAACAGTTGCTGGATGTCTTTTTGCGAGGATTTTATTATTATTTCTTCATAATTTGATATACCAAATCCCAGACTTTGCTGCCCACAAATCCCACCAACTAACCCCAGAGCGGACTGACTGCAGTTGGGGCCATTTATCATGGGTTAGCATAGCATCCGGAGGACTGCTGCAATCAGTGCACACATGTGCAGCGGAGATTTGGCCATGAAGTATGCTCATAAAATATTATGCTCAACTTTTGCGCTCCGGCTCCCGCTCCGGCTCCGAGATGGCTCTATGCTTGTGTCTATGGCTTCCAGTCGTGGTCTCTCGCTGGAGCAGCTGACGTGACTGTTTTTTGAGTGGCTTTGGCTTTGGCTTTGGCTGCCAAATAAATGTGCGATTCTCAGGGAATTCAAATCCAAAAGGACGTACGGAGTGCTGCTGGGCCTCGCTTTCCTGCACCTGTCCCGCGCCTAATGAGTTTTTAGTCCGGAGCCGAGCTTACATTTCATCGCTGGACGCTGGACGCTGGACGTGATGGCAATGCGCTGTCAGCGAATTGTTAGCTGGAACCACCCCTACCCCCGCGCTTCAGGCATAACTCAGGCATAGTGCCCGCCCCTGGCCTGAGGGCTCCAGGCACACTTGTCCTGCACGTCCTTAGCCGCATTGTTCCACGTACCCCAGCGGACTCTATTCTATCAATCTGTCGGCGAACACGTGTCTACTGGCCCACATACTCGTATGAATCAATAAATGAGTCAGTCGAACGAATGACACAAGCTGCCGTCCTGCTGCTCCTGCTGCTCCTTCTGCTCTGTTGGCTTGAGCTTGTTTACGAATATGAGATTCCAACATCTGGCCACGAGGAGACAACACCCTGCGGCCTGTTATTGAATAATATGGAAAAGCTTGACTGGCAGCTGCCATTTGAAGCGCCAAATGAGATTCCCTTGTCCAAATATTCGTTCTGCGATTGGGCACTGGGTGGGGAAAGCCCCCGGGGAAACTCTGGGCCCTCGGCAGTTCTTTCTTTCCAGATGCCACGCCAAGACTCTTTCGATTGTTTTACTGATACAAGTTGGGGGCTGCGCTACGAGTATTGTGTAGAGTTATGGAAGAGAAAATCTTTCAACTTTGATTTTTAGTTTCTTTCATTCCATACGAATGTATCCCGTGGCTGTGAGTCATTCTGCTCCGAGAGAAATCCCAATCTACTTTCATTTACCGCATTGGTAGACGGGGACTGGGACTGGGCTCTGGATCCTTGCCAGATTCGGTGTAGCGGAAGCAGCTATCATAAACTGAAACTGAAACTGCAAACAGCAAGGATATCCTGTTCCCCAGTTGGCAAACGTCTAGCACTAATTACTGCCAGCCAAATTCCAAATTCCAAATTCGCAGCCAAGTAAATTTCGCAAAATTTCACATTAAAATCGAATCAATCACGGTACATCCTCGAACCGGTGATGGCATTACAGCCTTCTATTTTTTTTTTGTGCTGTTGCTCCCTCTAGCAACTGCGGCAACAATGTGGAGCCACTCAGGAAGCGATTTGTGGGGCGGTTATTTAGCTCAGTTTATAGGCGAGCATAACACACGGAAAAATTCCAAACAGTTCCGTGCAGGATCCGTTCCACTCCACACCACTCCGCACCGCCATGGTGGGCGAGGGGTGTGTACGGTGCACGTACACCTGGGCTGGGCTGTACGGCTGGTGGGCCATAAAACCAGACCGGGTTTAGCACATAAACCATCCGAATGGCACCCCCAGGATGACAGGAGGGAGGGGATGCTTCTGGGTCTAAAGATGCTTCCGAGCATGGGTTTAAGGATGCCCTCTGGGAGGGGCAAGTGTGTGTGTGTGTATGCCACAGCTGTGTACATAATTATGCAAGACGGAGAAGCCAAGACAAATTGGCATAATGAAAACTGCTGGCAAAACGCCTTCGAGGGTCATGGCGAATGCAAATTGCAAATGTCACGTGTTCCTTCACTTGTCGCCTGCCTGCCGCCTGCCTGCCTCCTGCCTGCCTGCCGTTTGTATTTTGTAAAATATTTCGCCTTTTCGCATTTCGAATTTGTATTGTATTTTGCATGCTGCCCTGGCCCTTCTGTCCGTAACACATGTCCCCGGCCACATATGCCAGGGCTGCATAAATTTCTATCACACTTTTGCGGCCAGAGGAGCCACCAGTCCAGAGCAAGGGTCGTAGTCGTAGTTGTAGTTGTAGTTGTAGTCGTGGCTGTATGCGCGCCATCTTCCCGGCGATATCAAACGAATTAGCATAGAAAACTGCAAATTTGAATTATAGCCAGCGGCGGGCAAAGATACAACAGAGCAGAAGCCGGAGCAGTAGCAGTAGCAGGAGAAACTGGAACAGGAGTTGGAGCTGAAGCTGGAGAGCAGCAGCTGTTCCGCTTGCCTCTGTTGAAGCGGCAAAATGTATGCGATGGGTAATCAAAGGAGCAAAAAAGTGAACACAATCGGGTGGCATTGAGAGGGGGATCCCAAGAAAGCAGGTCATTCAATGTTCGTTAATACGAATTCAAGGATTCTCTAACTATTCAGCACTGGAAATTCATATACAAAATTAGATTTTGGTTAGATCTATATCTACTAAGGATATGGTAAGTATGGTGGTAAAACTTGTTATATGTTTGCGTACATATGTATGTAGATTCGATCAGGCAGAGCATAACGTATGGAAGAACATCTTCTTTATCCTGTTACTGTGTAGCAGAGTGGATGGAATTGGTTTAATTAGAAGTAATCCAAAACGAAAATTGAAAATTCGGGGTGCAATATAAACCTACATATATGTATGTATATTTAGTTATATTTTCACTATATAAGAAACTACGTACATCATTTTAGCTAACATTTCAAACCAGAGAGTCGTAACAGCGAGCGGCTGTAACTAGCCATAACAGCGAGCAGTTACACCGATCGGTAACAGCCTGTAAACGGAGAGCGGTTTCCAGACTGTTAACGTGGCTGGTACTAACAGCGCCGTTCCTCTGTTAAGAAAGATGTTCCTAACATACCCAACGGCTGAATCTTATTATTTCGAGATGAATTAGGCATCCTCCCTCTGGCAGTCAATGTACCCAGCTCTATAAATGAGAGAAGGCTAAGCGAAGCCCTTTACCAATTTGCATGTGCATATGGAGTTGCCGAGTGCTCGGCATTGAACCCTGACCACTGGAACTGGAGATGGGCGACTGGAGGATGTGTGCGAGTGCCAGACTAAACTGTTATACCAACAAACGAATGCGAATACGACTACGAATACTCGTACATAAGTGTGTATTTGGTTAGGTGGGGAGAGCGGGCGGAACGGGGCGTATGAGGTGGGAGAGCATCCTGCCGAGTGTAATGCGACTAATAGATACTTGTTTGCCGAAAAGTTTGCGGCACTCTTACCACTCCACTTACTGCTACACTGCTTGATAGCTCCTTGGTGGCTCTGTCTCCGGCTCTGGCTCCTTCTGTGAAGCATCCCCCCATCCCATCCCATCCCACTCCACTCCACTCCACACCATCCCGTTCCATGGGTCTTTGCCCTTTGCAAATACGTAATCAGTGAAATTTTCATGCACATTTTTCTTCAGTCGTCGTCTGCTCGGCAAACAAACGGCGCTTTGAGCTTGAAATACGTTGCTCAATTTCCATAAACACGTGAGCAAATAACACGTGTGCCCAGGGCTGGGACTTCCTTCTGGAATCAGAGGAACCAGAACGAACCACACCCCAACAGAATCAAGACCATCGTGGAGACATCGAAAGCCTTTCCCGACGAGAGGATACCTGCTAAAGAAGCCTCTTAAAATGAAGCACAGAAGTGGTTTGTATTATGGGAAATACTTGTCCATCCGATCTCTTAGATGATAAATTATTTAGATAATAAAATTAGAATAGAATGATCTCTAGCCTTGTTCTCTACGCGTTCCGTGGGTGCGCCCAGAATCGAGCATTTGCCTGCGTAAGTGCCCCCCCCAGCCACCCAGCCCCCCTCCAGAGTTCTTGCCACCCCACACTGGTAGCGGCACTGCCATCGCCACCGCCAATCTTCCAGCAGTCGTCGTCTGTTTGAGTTTTGGCGCTGGAAAATGCGCCTCAAATTGATTTTTGTTTATATTTCAAAGGAAAAACTTTTGTGCAGCTGTCGAGTTTGTTTTTCTTCTTGTTTTATATTTTTGTTGCCGTTGTTCCTTGCCGGCTTGCAGCTGCGACAAACTGGCGAATCCACGGCCCCCGTCAATATTTCATTACTGCTTCACTTCATACAACTTCGATTTGGCCACTCGGGGGGAATCGAAGGGCGCAAATAACGCCGGCAAAAGGTGCTCAAACCCTCGCGTGGCATGCCTTTAAGCCTTGACACAGTCATCGCTCTTTTAGAGTGGGCATTACTCGCACATACAATGTTGAGCAGCAGCAAAGGGATGGGTTCGAGTCGTTCGCCGGTGGTTCCCCCCCCCCTGTGTAATACTCTTTAAATTTGTACACTTTGAGCATCTGAAGCTGTCCAGGCAGCGCAGGCAGCGCAGGCAGCTTTGCTGTACATAAATCTAAAATATTTAGAGATCAGCGATCACTGCCACAAACCACACAAACCACACACACACACCTCTCAAGCCCTTCTGACTCTCCTGAGGCGAAAGTTTAACTACGCTCCAAAGTGATATACGAGCGGATCGTGACTGTCTGCGGTTTGCTGTTGCGGGTTGCATCACCATCACCATCACCGTGCACGTAACCCGAAGCGCAAATGGCAATCAATGCCCGGGCAGTGGCGCATCGCAGGGGATGCCCATGGAGGCTGGAAGCTTACCCAGTGATTGGAGACTGGCATGGGCTTCAGTCTGTTTGCCAGCCTCGACATGGAACGTTGGCATAATCGGGTGGCCGTGGTGACCGGAGCCAGCTCGGGTATTGGGGCGGAGTTGGCCAGGAAACTGATCGCCGCTGGCGTGGTGGTGGTGGCCCTGGCCCGACGCCTCGATCGGCTGGTGCAGCTGTCCCAAGAGCTGGGCCCGCAGCTGCACATCCGCCAGTGCGATGTCACGGACGTGGACTCGGTGAATGCCGCCTTCGACTGGATCGAGGAGCGGCTGGGCGGCGCTGACATACTGATCAATAATGCCGGCATGCTCTCGGGCGGCCAACTGCTGACCATGGCCCTGGACACGGTCCAGCAGGTGCTGCAGACGAACATCATGGGCGTGATCTACTGCACGCAGCGCGGCTTCCAGTCGATGCGCCAGCGCTCGGCGACCGGCCATGTGGTGCTGCTGAACAGCATCGTGGGCCACTATCTGTTCAATTCGCTGCCGGGCAGCCAGCAGGAGCTCAATGTGTATCCTGCCACCAAGCACGCGGTGACAGCCCTCACAGAGCTTTTTCGCCAGGAGATGCGCGAGTTCAAGACCCAAGTGAAGGTTACGGTATGTAATCTGAAAGGAAAGGATAAAGTATAAAAAATAGATGTACATTCTGTATACTCTTTGCTACCTTTTTGTAGAGCATCAGTCCGGGCCTGGTGGACACGGAGATGGTGCCAGAGGCCTACAAGTGCCTGCCCATGCTGCAGGCCGAGGATGTGGCCAATGCCATCATGTACGCCCTGGCGACCCCAGCCCATGTGCAGGTGCACGAGCTGACCATCAAGCCCCTGGGCGAGCCATTTTGAGTGACATCCGAACGTATATCGTTGAACTTTGCACCTTGCACTTTGCATACATTAGCCCATGCATATCTACACACATACTCGCATGAGTACCTACTACTACAACCACAGTATCTATAGTTATGAGTACACATATCCATGGCAAACCCCATCCCACCCCACCCCACCGCACCACTCACCGTCTTTTTGCATAATTCAAAGGCTGGCCAACAGGGGGCCTAATCGGACGAGAATAAGGTATGGAAATACCCCAAGAATCCTGAAACACTTATGGCAGGCAATAATCGGAATAAGTATCGTCTATCGCCCTCTGAAGATCAATATAAATTATCGAATAAATAATTTTTATTTTATTTTAATTATTTGTATCATCCACTTAGAAAAGCTGCACTGCAGAATTAAATAAACTAATACACTACTCTAAAGATATTTTATGCATATCCATTCTTCGGTGACAATAACTATTTGTATTAATCGTTTTTAGTAATTATAATTATTATTAGAACGAATTATTAAATTTTGAGTTATATTTTCGACCAAAAAAAATAATTACCATGAATAACACAGTGCGAAAAAAATGGAAACTTTTGTATTTACCTTGAACGAAACAAAGATTCGGCTATAGGCCTGGATGAGTAGATAATTCCTTTTATTTGGATTTTCGATTTTATACCATAAATTCTTTTTTTTAAATTAAAAACCGCGTAATGGCGACTTTACGCAATCTATGAAATGTTACTCAGAATCTACATACATAAACATAGTTATTATTAATGAAGAATATCCATAAAAAATAAAATGAATTCTTATTGTGTGATCAAGAATATATTTACTTTATGGGGTCGGAAATGTTTCCTTTTCTGCGTTGCACACATCCACTGTTACCACAAATAGAATATACCCCTAAACTCTTTTTGATTACGGGTATAAAAACAGTTCTCAGAGTGGTGACGTCCAGCACTATTTCCATGATGTACATACATTTATTAGCTTTATTATCAATCTTTGGAGTTCGTATTTCAATCATTTTTGAGAAAAAACACAAAGATTTTGAAACTGTTCCTAATATTGTATGTGCAAAGATTTGAAAATTTGAAAAATCAAGTTTCCTGTCGTTTATATTTCATTCCGAAATAATATCCAAAGTTAGTTCTCGTTCGTCTAAAACTGAATTTCGTGATTGTAGAATTGTAAAATGGATAGTTTTGAAAATTATTAGAGCCGGATGCAAACTCGACAATTTGGCCCGGCCCCAATCATCACACTGGAGTTAAGTTTAGTTTATTTAGCAGCAATTTCTAGTTGCGCGTGGCGCGTTTCTTAGTCTTTTTAATCGACGAACAGGTGCAATGTTCCAGCAGGTCCCTGTTACTGGGACTATCTTTGAAGAGGCACTTTTGCTGCTCGGTCAGTGCCATCCAGGCATTGGACCCCATTAGACGTAGGTCTGACTCGGAGAGTTCAGCGTGCGCTAAACGCTAAACTGTGACAAATACACAGGTTTCGATGAATACGCCTAATCGTCCAGCCAAGACCACCAACAAAAACTCGTCGTCTTCGAACCCGCTTGTCTTCAGTCAATTATTGTGGGGACTAAACACGATGGCAAGATCCCCAAGAGTAGTCCATTAGCCAAGCCATTTGAAGCAATAAAATATGGATGGAAAAACCAATATTTCGTCTCCTGTTTTGTTTTGTTTTGTTTTTAAATACCTTTTGAAGACTGACAGAATTACATTTAATTAATGTGTTATTACATTTACAACGAAAAGGAACGTGTGAATCGCTTCTGTGGACGCGACTCTACTTTTATACCCGTACTCAGTCAGTATATAAATTTGTGAGCTTATGATTTATGTCATCGACATCTAACATGTTTATTCTACATCTGAAATTTGGTTGCTCCAGCTCTTATAGTCTCTGAGAACTAGGCGGGACGGACGGACGGACTAATGTACCCCTTAACTCTTTTTGAGTACGGGTATAAAAATCGGTGCAATAACTTGAGCAACGATCGATCAGCACTGTCATACCCCATGCACATGGCTTAGCTTTGATGTGGAAGCTCTTTGACCTTTTGCGATATTTACGATTGCCGCTTAACGTTTTAATTGCCCCAATGAACGTGCCACCCAGTGGCGGCACTTGCCACCTTCTCCGCCCCAGCCCTCGGGGCGCCTCAATTATTCAGCTCACGTGTGAACCGTGCGCGCTTGGGCGGGCCCCATTTAATAATTGATTTGCATGGGCAATGACGGGTGTGGCCAGCTGGGAAATGTCTTGGAGCTAGTTCCGCGGCTTTGGTGCGGCTTGATGCGCAATCGTATATAAGCCTCGAGCCGGCGGCCATCCAGAGTTAGTTGCGAAGAGTGCTCCACTAGACGAGGAGCAAAAAAACAGACTTAAGCAAACTCCCAAGCGAATCTAGTCGATCACCCCCCCAATCATCGAAGATGGATCGTTGGCAGGACCGAGTGGCTGTGGTGACGGGCGCCAGTTCAGGGATAGGGGCGGCCGTGGCCAAGCAGCTGGTCGAGTCGGGTGTGGTGGTGGTGGGTCTGGCCCGACGGATGGACCGAATGGAGGCGCTGAGGGCCGAGCTGCCGGAGGAGCTGCACGGCCGCTTTCACCTGATGCACTGCGACGTGTCGGACCTGGACTCGATTACGGCGGCCTTCGACTGGGTGGAGGAGCAGCTGGGCGGTGTCGACATTATGGTGAACAATGCCGGCTGCCTGTTCCCCGGCCAGCTGCTCACCCAGGATCTGCAGAAGCTGGAGCAGACCTGGCAGGTGAACATCATGGGCGTCCTGAATTGCACGCGCCGCGCCTTCCGCTCCATGCAGCAGCGCGACGTGGCCGGCCATGTGGTGCTGATCAACAGCCTCACGGGCGAGACGATCATCAATCCGCCGGGCGACGAGCTGCAAGTCCTCAACATGTATCCCCTGACCAAGCACGGCATCAAGGCCATGCTTGAGGTGCTGCGCCAGGAGTTTCGCGGCTTCAAGACCAAGATCAAGATAACGGTGGGTTCTGACTTGATTTCCTCAGGTCTCAGTGTTCCCCATCGCAAGATTAATCCCTGCTCCACCTCTCCCCGCAGAGCATCACTCCTGGGGTCACGGACACGGAGATTCTGCCCAGGGGCTATGGCGCGCTGCCCATGCTGAGGCCCGAGGACATTGCCGCTGGCATTATCTACGCCCTGGCCACGCCGCCGCACGTCCAGGTGCATCAGCTGACCATCAAGCCGCTGGGCGAGCCCTTTTAGGCGCCGCACCGCAGGCGGCCTCATCATCATCATTCCCGATGATGGCATCATTTTCGGCGAATATACATAGCTCGCAGTGGGCGTGTCTCAAGTGGCTGCTCACCGACTGAAATTGCGTTTTCTTTATTTGAAAATAGCTTCCGATGGGTGCAGGGATTGGGCTTGTGTCTGGGCTGTGTGGGGCATGCCGAAAAATGCGAAAATAAGTTAACATTAGCATGACAAGACCAGAATGACGATGGGTGTGTGGTGCGAGTGGAGGGGGCGGCAGCCGGAACAGGTGGCGCGTCCACATCCGCACCGGCATCCGCAATGGCATCCGCACCGGCATCCGCGAGCGTCTGCAGCAACTACGCTTTCTGTCAATATTGAAAGCGTACGCGTTTGACATAAAATGTAATATAGTCGCAGCCCCCAAGACCCATACACTGCCAAAGTTCAGCCACAGAAGATGCTCCAAACGAAAGGCAGAGAGAGCAGCGAGAAACGATAGAGATGGAGATAGATAAAGAGAGAGAGAGAGAGAGTGTGGCTAGAGTAGAAGAGACAGAGTATATGCAAAGCATCGGCGATGCATCGCCAAAGATCCACTTAGAGAAATGCAATTCAAGTGTTTCACTCCGACCACATTCGCATAGAGTTGAATGTTAGGAATGAATGCTTTTAAGACAGCAAATGAATGCCGTTCCGAAATATCCCAACTGAATGAGAGAACTAGAATGTCAGCTGTTCGAAGGTGTTCGAAGGTGTTCGAAAGTGTTCAAAGGTGTTCGAGTGAATTCTTCTGTGCCATAACAATTCCAAGGCTAACATTCTCACTTCATATGTCCCCTGCTTGCTTCGCATGACTGGAAATGCTGCGAAGTTCGGATCTCGGATATTTATACGTATAAATTCGTATGCAATGGACACTGAAATGCAAATGAAACTCATGTGCTGCACCGATTGAGAGAGATTATGAGATTATTTTGTACATACATATATACACACATATATATATATATCGTTTTAAAGATCATGAATATTATCTTCAGTTGCTTCCGCTCTTTCTGCCAGTGCATTTTTGCCGTTGCTTCACATTTTGCATTTCATTTTTGGAGTATTTTTCGGAGCACACATGGCGCATTCCTCTATCCGGCGGGCTCTGGGCCGTCGCCTTTTGGGCAAGTACCAAAGTCAGACAACTTTTATGACTTGCCTGCAAACAGAAGGCAAGAAGACTCGCAAGCGAGGCGGCAGCAGTGGCATAAGCTGCTGCAGTAACGGGTAATGGTGATGCTTATGCTTATGCTTATGGTGGCAGCAGCAGCAGCAGCAACGGCAGCAGCATCCAACATCCAGCGTTCGTTTCGCGTCACTCGCGTCACGCCAAGTTGTCAATGTTGCATATAAACACGGTGTTGTCAATGTTGCTGCTGTTGCAATATTGTTGTCAGGAATCCTGGAAGGAAGGAAGGAGGGAACTGGGGCAGCTCCTCGCTTACTTGTCTGTTTCAGTGGCAGCTTTCTTGCACCCCGCTCACCTGCTCAGGCAGCAGTCTGCCACAAATAGAGCTAATAATGTCGCGGTTCCTTGTTGGCCCTGTCTCGTGTCTCTTTTCCTGCTTGAGAGGATCCCGACTCTCTGTCAGCTGCTGCTCTGGGGCGGTTCCTCATGCTTCTTTTTCCCCTGGTTATCCACTTAAATCCGTCAGGCGGGCTGAGCATTAAGTCGACAACTGAAATATGTAAGCCGAGAGCCCAAAGCTAATTAATGTCACTAAAATATCACACAAAACGTTCGATGCTGAGGGGTTTGATTGGCGTTTCAAAATAGTATAAAAATAATATTTGATTGGGACTTAAAGAGAGACTTTTGCCATGAGGCAATTAATGCTGGGAATGCTCTTTGATCTTTTTGATCGATCAGCCGTTTCTGACAGCAGATTTATATGCGTTTCAGTATCAGAAGAACTTCTTAAAGATCATTTTCATAAACCTCAATTTATTCAGATCCCTCACGTGCATTATCTTAGTGCCTGAAGCTGTAGGGATTTCATCTCAAGATATTTTATGGCTCGGAATACTCGTACCTTTCAACTCGAGCTCAAAACCAT